TTTAAAATATTTTATTTATTTTTGAGAGAGAGATAGAGACAACATGAGCAGAGGAGGGTCAGAGAGAGAGGGAGACACAGAATCTGAAACAGGCTCCAGGCTCTGAGCTGTCAGCACAGAGCCCGATGCGGGGCTCGAACACACGAACCGTGAGATCATGACCTCAGCTGAAATCGGACGCTTAACCAACTGAGCCACCCAGGTGCCCCCCTTATTTTAAATTTTTTAAGACAATAAATGACCACTTTGGGGCACCTGGATGGCTCAATTATTTGAGTGTCCACTTCGGCTCAGGTCATGATCTAACAGTTCATGAGTTCCAGCCCCACATCAGGCTTGCTGTTGTTAGGCTGTCAGCACAGAGCCTGCTTTGGATCCTCTGTCCCCCCTCTCTCAGCCCCTCCCCCACTCACACCCTATCTCTCAAAAACAAAAACATTTTAAAAAAAGATAATTGACTACCTAAATTAATAATAGTAACAACATATTGTGGGATATATCACATAGAAGTAAAAGGCATGGAGGGAGGGCAGTTGTGGGGGTTCAGAAATTCTGAACTTGCAGAATTTCTAATGATAAGTCTGTTGTAACCATTACCATTATTCTTCTATACTGGGTATTATATGGAAACCAACTTGACAATAAACTATTAAAAAAAATACTATGCCAAGAAAAACAAAAAGTAAAAGGTGTGACAACCATTGCACAAAGGATGGAGAAAGAAATGTAAGTGTACTATTACAAGGTGTTTATGCTGTATATGAATTAGTGTAATATTATTTGAACATGGACTGTGATAAGTTAAAGAGCTATATTGTGTATAGTTGGGTAGCTGAGAGAGAGAGAGAGAAAGAATGACAGATGGACAAACACGATTAACCAGTCATTAGTGGAAATGAAATGGAATCATCAATCTAAAAAGCAGAACGAGAGAAAAAAGAACAAACAACAAATGAAACAATAAAAAAACAACTAGCAAGATGGTTCCAATCATGTCAATAAGTACATTAAATGTAAATGGTCTGAAGAATTAAAAGGAAGAGATTTTCAGATTGGATGCAAATGCAAGGCCTAACATATGCTATCTATATGAAAACCATTTAAAATTAATATGTAGGTGGAGAAGGAAAATTATACACCATGCAAACAATAATCAAAACAAAGCTAAAACGTATTACATCAGAGAGTTAAATTTGGGACAAGGAATATTACAGGAGATAAAGGAAGATGTTATATAAAAAAGGGGTCAATTAATCAACAATGCATTGTAATTCTAAAAGCATATGTACCTAAAATAGAGCTTCTAAATATCTAAAACAAAATGTATAGAAGAGTTTATAACATTAAATGCATATATTAGAAAGGAAGAGAAATTCAAATCAGTGGTCTGAGTTTCCAATACAAGAAACTAGGGAAAGAAGAAAAAATTAAAGCCACGGCAAGCAAAAAGAAGGAAATAATAAAGATTGGAACAGAAATCAGTGAAATAGAAAACAGATAAACAGTAGAGGAAATCAGTTAAACCAAAAATGGATTCTTGGAAAGATCCATAAAATTGTAAACCATTTACAAGACTGGAAGAGTGAAAGAAAGAAGACACAAATTACGAACCCCTAAGAAGAAGAGATAGTACTATAGATCCATAGATATTAAAAAGCTGTAGGGAAGAGGTGCCTGGCTGGCTCAGTCAGTGGAGCATGTGATTCTTGATCTTGGGGTTATGAGTTCAAGCCCCAGATTATTTAAAAAATAAAATCTTAAAACAAAAAGATTGTAAGAGAAAATTATGACCAACTTTATGCCAATAAATGTGATCACTTATAGAAAATAGATCTCTGAAAGACACAAACTATCAAAATTCACTCAAGAAGAAATAGATAACCCAAATATTTTTATATCTTTAAAGAAATTGAATTTAGAGTTAAAAGCCTTGCAAGAAAACTACAGGTCAAGTTGGCTTTATTGGTGAATCCTACCAAACATTAAAGGAAGTAATTATAGCAATACTACAAAAACTTCCAGAAAACGGAGGAGGAGGAGGAAAACACCCCCTAACCCATTTTATGAGACTCATATCTTGTATGGCTATAGATGCAAATATCCTCAACAAAATACCAGCAAACTGAATCCAACACATAAAAAGGATTATATGTCATGACTGAAGGAGATTCATTTCGGCAATGAAACTTAAGGTTGACTTAAGTGAAAATCAATTAATATATCAATAGAATAACAGACAAAACCCACATGATAATGATAATTTCAGTAGATGTAGAGAAAGTGTTTACAAAATCCAACACCCTTTCGTGATAAAAAACAAAAAAAAACAAAAAAACCTCAACACACTAGGAATAGAAGTTCACATCATCAACCTGATAGGAGGCACCAATGAAAAACCCATATCTAACAACATATAATGGTGAAAGATTGGATGTTTTTCCCCTAAGGTCAGGAACGTGACAAGGATGTCTCTTCTCACTCCTTCTATTCAGTATTGTAGTAGACATTCTAGCCAATGCAATTAGGCAAGAGGAACTAAAAGGCATCCGTATTAAAATGGAGAAGTAAGACTATTTCTGTTTGCAGAGGACATGATTTTGTATAGAGAAAATCCTAAGGAATTCACACACACAAACCCTATTTTATTTTTTCATTTTTTATTAACAAAGATTTTTAAATGTTTTTATTTCTGAGAGCGAGAGAGAGAAACAGCGTGAGCAGGGGAGGGTCAGAGAGAGAGGGAGATACAGAATCTGAAACAGGCTTCAGGCTCTGAGCTGGCCATCAGCACAGAGCCCCACGCGGGGCCCGAACCCACAAACCGTGTGATCATGACCTGAGCCGAAGTCGGACGCTTAACCGACTGAGCCACCCAGGCACCCCACAAACCCTATTTTAACTAGTAAATGATTTCAGCAAGATTATAGAATACAAGGTCAATATAAAAACATCACTTTTACTTCTGTACACTGAACCATCTGAAAAGGAAATTAAATCAATTCCATTTATAATAGCATCAAAAAGATGAAAATACATGGGGATAATGAAGTACAAGTCTTATACCCTGAAAACTGCAAATCACTGTTGAAAGCAATTAAAGAAAATCTAAATAGATGGAAAGACATCCCACTTTTATGGATCAAAAGACTTAACTTGTTAAGATGTATCTATATCTGTATCTATATTCTCTCTCCACACACACACACACACACACACACACGCACGCACACATGCATACATATAATAAATATAAGATCCATTTTTAACTTTAGGACAAGTGCCCAGGCCTTTAATGACTATGTGTAAAAAAACCCACATTTTTCTGAAGTTGAGTGATTACTTTGGTTACATTTTAGTTTCTCCTCTTAAATTCAATTAAAATTAATTGTAATGGTTTAAGTTTAAAGCTGGCATATGTAATACAGTCTGTTTTTGTAAAATGATTTTTATCTTTCTTCCCTTGACGCATAAGTATAGAGGTACATGGATTATTGTTCAATAAACGTTAACTGGTTATTTCTGTGGGGGGAGGATTTTGAGATGATTTTTAGTTTTCTTTCTATTGTATGGAATTGGCTTTTTGCTTTAAAATAATCACGGCATTTTTTAAAGATTAAAAACTATTTTTGAAAGCAAATGAAGGCTACTTTTTAAAAGTTTAACTGTTGGCCCCCAAAGCAGAGATGTCAAGGAAGTCGTTGAATATGAGTCTGGGATTCAGAGGGGGAAAGTCTGCAGTGGAGGAGACAAATTTAGGAGTTGGCAGCATAGAGATGATTTCTGAAGCTCGGAGGAACGGATGAGATCATCCTGAGAGAGACTTAGAAGAGATGGTGCTCTGTACATCCGCGGCACTTGGAGGATGCGCTGGGGAGGAGCCTGCAGTCCGTTCCCAGGGGTAGGAGGAACACCCACCTCTCAGCACTCGCAGAGCCGAGCGCTAAGTCGGGAAGGAGCCAGGCAGTTTTGATAAGATGCTGGGATGTTGTTCAAATGCAAGGGTTGCCCACCTGGGTTTCATTCCACAACATCTGTTCATTGTGTGCTTTCTTTTCTGTCTCCCAAAGCTCAAGAGTTAGGGATCCAGCAGTCGCTTCACCTCCATTCGGGGGATAATTTTGAGACTTCTAGGAGGTTTGGGGTTTGGCTAACAGCTGGGTCTTTGAAGAGCTGCTGACTTTCAGCAAACGTGGACAGCATGTTTGGAGAACACTTGTATGGTTTTTTAAATGGGCCACAGAGAGCTTGTTTGATAAATGCTTTATTTGACTTGCCACTTTAAAGCGAGTAGCCTTTGTAATAGTAGGTATGTGTTTACACATCACTCTAGAACCCACTCAACTTGCAGGTCTTTCTCCCACTTACTTGGCAGTCTTTCTTGCCGGGGCTAAAAGTTTAAACCTTTAAAACCTCGTTATCTGTTGACAAAAGATCAAGTGTGGGGAGAGGGAGAGCTTAGGTTGTTTGTCTCGGCTCTCCCCTTGAGAGTCCATAGACCTTGGCTCTGTAGCTTAGAGGGTTCCCTGGGGAATTCGGGACCGGTGCCAATCACAGCGCTTCTTAGGCTCAGCCCTTTCTGGAGATCATCAGGCTTATGTAGGGCTGGAGCTTCAGCCTGCCTGTCCGTGACCTTGGCTATTGGTAGCGGATGACTCTTCCTGCCCGTTGTTGGGACCTGTTTCTCTCACCCAGACTCTCTGTGAACATCCTGGCACCCAGCAGAACCCTCCACCTCAGATCTCATCCTGGCACCGTGCACACTTGAGCACCCTTCAGGCCTCAGCCATCCTCGCCAGGAGGGCCACCCCATGCCCCGTCTCATGGGGGCTGTTCTCTCGGCTTCCCTAATCCTCACGCTCACTTCCGCACCCGCCCCGAGGCACCGATGTGTGCGTGAGGAAGGCGATTTGTCAGGTTGTGCAGCGCGTTTAGACATGCGGTTCAAAGGGACGAGGCTTGAATGTGGATCTGATTAGTTTTCCGGTTTTCTCCCCTTCTAGGTAATACTTACCAATATTCAAAACAGAAGCCCTAAGCCTGGCCCTGCTCCCCACGATCAAGAACTAGGTTTTTTCCTAGAAACAGGACTTCAGAGAGCCCATGTCCTCTATTTCAAAAATGGGTAAGCCTTCTTCATTTTTTAAACCAGGTTCCTAAAGAAGGAAAACAGAAAGCCTTACAATGCTGTCTCCGGTTTAGCTATTGTAACAAAGCAGTTTTAAATATGAACTACGATTGCAATCGTTTTTGAGAATAATGGATGTGGGCTCCTTTGTCTTCTCCCCCCCCCCCCCCCCCCCGCTCTCTCACTTTGCCATGAGGTTTGAGGGTGGCAGAGGGAGGAAGGAGGGCTGTACGGGTATGAGTCACAGGAATGAAGCACCAGCCCAGCGGGTGGGTCTGACGGGAGTGTGCGTTATGCCATCCTTCCTCCGTGGCAGAGGCTCTGCAGACCTCCCGCTTCTTCTGGGGGACGGGCATCCTAACCTGGGACCCCCAGCACACAGGGTCACCTCCTTTGAAATGGCTTATCATTCCAGAGACTTGGGTCTGCCAGATATCAGGCAGTTTTTATGAACGTGGGGCGGCTCTGAGGCCACGCAAGAACGCTTTCCACTTGAGCTACCTTTGGAAAGGAGTGAAGAAAGTTGGATAATGTGAACGTGAGGGTTAGCTGTCTAAGGCATTTGGTGGCGGTTTTCCTTTTTGTGTGGCTTTTATGAGAAATGCGATGACTGTGTTCCAAATCTCTTTAGCTGTCCTTGTTTTGACCTTGTGCTGCAGGATAGATGTGCATGAAGACCAACAGTAGGTATCTGGCTCCTCCGTAGCTCCTCCTGGGCTGGGCACGGGAGGCCCCTAGGGGCCCGTCCCCTTTCCTCTAGGAATAGTCATGTAGTGCTTTGAATGACAGAAGGGACCCAGGTCCCAGCTTTGGAATAAATGATCAGTGGACCTGCTCCCTGTTCATTTTTAAGAGCTTCAAACCTTGGGGCGTAGCTCACGGAAGTAGAATTTCATCTGCCTGGTGGCTCAGAGCCACATGCATCCATTTTCCATTTGTCGTGGTAAATGCTTATTTTCCAAATCTTGTTAAACTGTTTGTAGAGAAGGCCCGCTTAGCTCCAAGGCCATTGATTCAGATTGGCATGGCCTGCGAAGGGCTGCAATGACACCCCAAGGTTTGGACTGGCTTGAGGCCTTGGCACCAAGAAGATGCTCGCAAATTTGATCTCATCTACCACTGACTGAGATCATCTGAGCCATAGCGCATGTCCCCTAAGCTCAATTTTTAGTTCTCTTTCCAATGATGTTATAAATAGAGGGAGAAGGGAGGGAGCTTGGAATATTTTTCGAGGATCTATTTCTTCTCCCTTTTAGTCTCAAAGAGAGACCCCGACATTGCTCTCCCTCTCTCTCACCTGTAAGTGTGTGTGGCTGACTCCCCAATACAAGTCTGGAGGCAGGAATGCATTCCCTTGGGGCTCTCAGGGGTGCCAAACCAGTCCCTGCTATTGAAAGCGCTTTATGCAAGATTGGTGAAGGTGGGCCGGATCATTTATGTTCATCCGAAGCCTATTCATTGAGGAAGAAGAAGCTACTGGGCTCTGGCCTCCTGCCCTGAAATGTTGGCAGCCCACTGGAATCCCACTAAAAAATAATGATGAGAAGTTTGCACGAGATGATGGATTACATGCCGGGAATTGCTTACCGGCTCATTTCTCTTTTTATTTTACCCAAGTTCAAGGAGATTCCCATTGATGTAGCCAAAGTGAAGAGACTGCAAAACTTTGAAGCCTCTTCACCTCCTTTCTTGCCTCCTTGCTTTTCTCTCAGGGCTCTGAAGACTAGTGATGGGATCGGCCAGCTACTCGAGAGGGTCCTTGCCAGCTGCAGTGTCCGGAAGGCTGGGATTGTGCGGCAGTGATGAGGGATTCCTTTGGGGTAGATAGAGGTGAAGGCCAGTTTGGGGACCACAAAATGTGGATGAAAAGAGAAAAAGCAGCCGGAGCTTTTGGGCATGCCCAAGTGCTTCCTCGACCCCCTGACTTAGAGCAGTGGGTCTCTCAGGGCTTGGGACACACATTTATCATTGGGTCATTTATCAGTGGATGTCCGCAGCGAGAGTCTCTGCAGAGTAGGTGGGGACAGCTGGAGGTGACTGCTGTGCCTAAGCACCAATGGCTTCTGACTTCCCATCTTCTGATATATTTGCTCCTTTTCGTCTTTCTGCACTTTAAAAATATGTATCCGGAAGGATATAATGGACGGGGTTAGACTGATTTGTGAGGATAAGAGAATGTACTGTAGAAGAGCTTCATAATAAGAGATGGAAATTGATGAAGCAGATCTTTTTTCTTTAGAAATACACTTAGGGGCTCCTGGGTGACTCAGTCAGTTAAGCATCTGGCTCTTGATTTAGGCTCAGGTTCGTGACCTCATAGTTCATGAGTTGGAGCCTGGCGTTGGGCTCTGTGCCGACACTGTGGAGCCTGCTTCGGATTCTCTCTCTCTCCCTCACCCTCTCTGCCCTTCCCCCCGCTCACACTCTCTCTCTCTGTCTCTCAAAATAAATAAATAAACTTTAAAAAAAGAGAAGTGTACTTAGCCGCCCTCAGCTTTTTAGCTGTCATCCCTGAGGACTTAATGAGTGTTAGTAATTAATTTTATACTTTGTAATTCTCCAATCTTTTCCAAGAGTGAGTGCCAAACCAGTGAACTTGGGTCTCTTTCCGAAAGAGCCTGAGCTCCGGACCTTAGATCCTGGGGATGCTTTTGTGTTCACCAAGGCTCCTACTTCACCATCACTGACCCTCACGGTGTGTGCTCCTTCCTGGGTGCTGCCGCCCCACGAGGCTGGTGCTGTAGGTCACCCCCACGTGCACACGGTGACCTGGCTGCCTGGGTCCGCCTTCAGCAGACCTGGGTCCTGGGTCCTTCCAGCCCCGCGCCACTCAAGGGAAGGTCTGTCCGTGTGTGGAGACGCTTGGTCCGACCCTCTGACGGTGTGTGGGCTGCTGTCATCCTGCCCCTCTAGGGCAGGGGGAGGCGCTGGACCCAAGCCTAAGGCCTTGCCAGGGTGTGGGTTCCCAGCCTCTGCTGTTGATTGGGGTTTTCTCATTGCACTTTTCCTCATGTCTCATCCAGAGCTTGTCACAGCTCATCCTTTCCTTCCTCTCTCCTCCTTTCCCCTGGCCCCTCCTGCAGCCTCTTTCCTCCCGGAGGGAGACAATGTCTGGGGCCATCCTGGTGCCACACGGCCACATCTGTTTCACATCTAGTTCTCTCACCCTGTGGGTAGCTCAGGCTCTGCAGTGGGTGAGATCAGAGGGCGTTCACCTTCGAGGGCCAGTACTGCTCCCTCCGCGGGTTCCCGGAAGGCCTTGCCCAGGCTGGCACTCAGATGAGGGGCAGCAAGGGTGTTGGAGCCAGAGGCCTTGAACTTGGAACCAGTCCTTCTCCTCGCTGGGTCTCAGTTTCTTTGTCTGTAAAATGGGTGTGATCCCACCTATGTCACAGAGCTGAGGTAACACGCAAGTAAGAAAATGCACGTGGGAGCGCATCATAAGGCATCAGGCAAGCAGCGGGTGCTAAGTGGTCATTTCCGGTGATGATGGTGCCCAGTTGACTTGCCAGCAGGACGTGGAACCAAGTTCAAGTGGGATTTTGTGAAGCAGCCATCACGCATTTGGTTGTGGAGGCTCACACCACATGTTTTTCAGGGAAGGGCATTTACTTATGCCTGCTGGTTTAGGTGAGCCGTGCTCACGATGTGTCTCAGTGAGCTTGGATAGCTTAGTGCTTCAGGGAAAGGAGGTAGGTGACTGGTCTGACATGGTAGCAACGGGCGTTCACGGGGCAACACAGCGGGTCTAAGCCTCGTGCTCCCCTTGGCCTTCCTTGGTTTTTTTTTTTTTTGAAAGATTTTTAAATTTTTTTTAAAGTAATCTCTACACCCAACATGGGGCCTCAAACTCATAACCCTGAGATCAAGAGTCACAGGCTCTTCCGACTGAGCCAGACAAGCACCCCTCCCCTCGGCCTTCTAAGGAGAAGAGAAATGATGCTGTTCACTTGAGTCCTCGTGGCCAGAATTTCCAGAAAGCTTGGCTTTGGGACGACAGTTATTGAGTACAGGCTGTTTTAGGAATATTTGGTCATCTTTTGTAAACAGAGGGTAGCAAAGGACATTTCAAGTGGCTTTGCTTCTTTTCAGCCATGTCAGGTGTACTGGCTGAGCAAATGGATTGCGGTGCGTGTTTTCCCTGGCTCTGAATTGCTTTTACTTCAGGGAGGGTGGGGATAAGTTAAAACAAGGCAGATACCAGCGATAGCTGGGAGGCGTGCCCGTGGGTTGTGCTCTCTGCCACAGTGTGTCCTGGAGTTGTCCCTGGGGGACCCTGACTCAGACAAGGTGGGAAGTCAGGCCGTTGGTCAGACTCTGAGTTCCCCGAGATGCTTGCTGCCTCGCTGCGGGGGAAAGTGGTTTAGGAGGCCTTTTTGGAGTTTTGTTATTACAGGCCATCAAATACACCACTAATCACCACTGTGCATTAGCTTTAAAAATTCCTAGACTTCCCCATAATTTTGTTGCCCTTTGTAACTGTTCAGCTCTGCTTAACGTAGCCTAGAATTAGGGAGAGAGAGGCCTCCTGTGTCCCATGGGCTGCTGAGTAGGGCGCTTCCTGTGTTTATGGCCCCCAGATGGCAGCCGCCGGCAGACAGGCTCCTGTGGCCCATGTGACCATGGGGAGGGGCTAGCCGGGAAGCCAGGGGGGCCATGCTCCATGCACTGGAGCTCCATGCTTGGCCTTCACCTTTGCATTCTAGCTAGCATTCTGGCTGTCTTCCCTCCTGGAGTGGTCAGAAGTGTTCCCTTCTTAAACCCTATGCGACTCTATGAGAAGTCATATGCAGCCAACATGGGAGAATTCAGACACATTTCCAGGAAGTTATGTATCAACGTCTCATCCATGATGATCTTCTAGGCATTCAGAGGTTAGAAGGGAATGGGCCTGCACTCTAGGAGATAGTAGGAGGAAAGAAAAGGTTAAGACATAAACCTAAGTAACTCTAAAGGTCCTGATACTGTTGCACCAAGAAGCAAACAAGGAAGGACAC